TATATATATATATATATATATATACACTGTAGCCTGTACCATCAAGGTAGCCAATGAATGGCCCCTCCCTCCCCTAATGGTGTACAGCTCGAAGTTTTGTACAATTAACACTAAGACAAGTATTTTTATTATATTCTTTTCTTAATTATTTTTCCTTTATTAAGGACGAGGATTGTCTTGATGTATTTATTCTATTTATTCTCCTGCAGATTGGCGAAGCATTGAGCTCCTTCTACAGAAATTAGTCATAAATATTTTGCTGCTGTTGCAGCTCTTTATACCCTTCTTCTTATATTGGGGGTATTCATTGCAATAATAATATGAGTAAACTGCGCTGTTGTGTGTGTGTTGATGCGCTGTTTTGCTGCAAGATAAAGGACAGAGGGGAGGCGATGAACAATAAAGAGATTGTATTTTAACAGTTTTGCGTGCAATTACACTTGAATGCCGTTAAAAGGAAGTATATTTGTTCATATATTCCCCTGTCTTTCCAGGCGGAAACCGCCACTAAATGCCTTCGGCAGTTGCAGCGGTGTGTGTACCGGCGTTATTAAGCACAAAAAAAATAGAATAAATTAATTTTAAAAGGGTATTTACAAACAAACGAGGGAAGAAGGAGATGCGAAATATTTGCCTGCTTTGCCTCTTTCGGCTGTTCGTTTACTGCTGGGGTGTATCGGCAGCTTGGGTTCCTGATGTTGTCACGTTGCTTTATTATGGCTTGTTGGCGAATCTTTTGCGCATTATATGTTTTTAAGGTTAAATTGTATTCTATTTTCTGTATATTATGTTAAAATACCTTGAAATACATACTTTTCTGTCGGGTTACCCCCAAGGAATCCTCCCCTTGCAGCGGCAACGCCGACAGACAGCAGCGCTTACCGCCAGCCAATACCTGTTTTCTACGTGTTTCTGACGGCAATTGGAGGTATTTAAATATCTTTTTTGTATAATTGAGCTAATTTTTCTAATATTTTAGCAGAAATTTTGTATATTTCTTCCGTATTCTCTCGTAGCTGCAGCAGAAGAGCTCTTGAATCCTCCTGTTTTCGGCCTGCCGCTGTGCTGTTGTTGTGCTCTCACGGCGGTTAGGGCGTCAGCCCTGAGCCCTCTATGCCTCTCTCTGGTGTTCCTTTGTCTTCTCTTGTTTATTCCCTTCTTTTTCTTTATTTCTTTGAAGACATTTGCATGCCTTTTAGGCCTTTTTAGCTCTCTAGACAGACACCGCAGACGGCTCTTCTCAACGGTTGCCGACAGCGCCGTGTCTTCTCCTCCCTGCTAAGAAGATAATGTAAAATAACGCAGTGTATAGACAGGTGGCTGATGAAGGGGAAAATAGAAGATTGTCTGTGCCTTCCCTATAGGGTAAAGCAGCAACTTCTTCTTCTCTTTCTTCTTTCCCTTTTATTCTTGTCTTTGCCACCGCGGCCTTTAGTCTTTGTTGCCTCCGCCTTATTAACATACCAACGTGCTTATCAACAAAAGGGGCAATCCCTTAGTATCAGCAGCAGACGCAGCAGCCAGTGTATCATCATTACCAGCAGCAGGAACAGGAGCAGCAGCAGCAGCAGGAGAAGGAGAAAGGAAGAAGTAGCAGGGGCAGCAGCCTTTACCTAGCAGCTGCTGCAGGGTGTCAGCTGCTGCCCTTTGCCCGTACGATGCTAACATCGGCCCTGAATATTCAGGAGCCGCAATCCTCTCCTTCTGGTGCCCCTAACAGCAGCAACAGCAACAGCAGCAGCAGCAACAGCAGCAGCAGCAACAGCAGCAACAGCAGTAGCAGTTGGGGATCTATTTCTTGCTCTTTTCCTGCTGCTGCTGCTGCTGCTGCTATAAGGAGGACTTCTCTCCTTACGTCGATGCCCCCTGAGGCACAGACAGCGGGCCCTAAGGCTCCTAAGGAAGTATCAATATCTTGCTGCAGCTGCAGCGGAGGAAAAGATGCAGCAGTTGCTGCTGCTGCTCAGCAGCAGCTACATCGACAGCATATGCTGCAGCAAGAGGAGCTGCATCAATGGCGTATACAGCAGGATGCCGAGAAGGCTGCGGTGTACAGACACCTCAGGACACTAGAGAGTCGTATATCTGCACAAGAAGAATTAATTAATAAATTAATTTTATTATTAAAGAAAGAATTACCTAATAAAGAGAAGGAGATGGATATATTATTACTGCATGCATCTAGTATACATTGGCCATATAGACAGCAGCAGCAGCAGCAGCAGCAACAGCAGCAGATGTTATTATTGCAACAACAGCAGCAGCAAGTGTTGCTGCTGCAGCAACAGCTGCAGCAGCAGCAAGAGGAGGAGGAAGAGGTAATGGATATGCTAAGAGGGTCTGCAGGCCAATGGACAGATCGTCTGTATCGATGGTCTTCTCGTGTTGATGGTTTGCCTCTACCAGAGATTAATTGTCTACTTTCTCCTGCTGCTGCTGCTGCTGCTGCTGCTGCAGGAGGAGGAGGAGCAGCAGCAGCAGCAGTAGGTAGTGATGGTGGTGTGTCTGGTGTTTATAGTGGGAGTACAAGTCCATCATCAGACAGCCCAAGATCATCATCAGGTGCTTCTGCTGCTGCTGCTGCTGCAGGCACAGCAAGTGCTGCTGCTGCTGCTGCAGCTGCTGGTGCTGCTGGTGTGGGGTGTACAGACAGTGGAGATGAGGGTAGTAGATCAAAATGGGGAGGAGGCAACGGGCTGTATATACAGCTGGAGAGCGAAGGAGGGAATCCATTAAGTGCAGCAGCATTACGTGCTGCAGATGCATTTAGGTATTTTCTTTCGCATGCAACAATCTCTAGGGAAGCATGGATAAATACATTTGCTTCCTTCTCTCTTACTGCAGCACCAGTGCATGCGCTGCTGCACAGCAGCAACTTGCTGCTTAGACTCCTTGAGGATGCTGTTGCTCTGCCTGCATCGGAGTTGCTGCTCCTTGTAGCAGAATGGATACAGCCTTCGTCTGCTGCTGATGGTGATGCAGCTGCTGCTGCTGCTTCTGCTGGTGCTGCAGCAGCAGCAGGAAGCAGCAAGGCACATCTTAGGGTGCTGTGTCTATTAGAGAGAGCTGCTGCTGCTGCTAATGGGCTGCAGCTGCGGCGGTTAAAGAGAGGAGCAGAGCTCTCCTCTTTTTCTTTTGAGCCCTTCTCTGTTTGTGTGCAGCCCAGCAGCAGCAGCAACAGCAGCAGCAATAGTAGCAGCCGCTGCAGCACCCCCACCAGCAGCAGAAGAGGCAGCAGCAGCAACTATAGTGATAGCGAGACAGAGACAGAAAAAAGAAATAAATATAAAAAATTAATTGTCCCTATCTGCTGTCTCCATGGTCTACGGCTGCTTAAGGTAGACACCAGTTTAGATAGCAGCAGCAGCAGCAGCAGCAGAAGCAACAACAGCAGCAACAGCAGCAACAGCAACAGCAGCAACAGCAGCAACAGCAGCAGCAGCAGCAGCACCGAACATCTTAACGATGGGAGGGACAACTGGAAGAGACAAAAGCGGTCGCCCGTAGATACACCCAAAGGGGGAACAGACACAGGAGGCCCAACAGCAGCAGCAACAGCAGCAACAACAGCAGCAGGTGCAGCAGCAGGAACTAACAACGACACATCAGCAAGAGATGAGGGGAGGCACAAGAGAGAAGGGCCAGGGGAAACGCCTGAAGCAGCAGACCGAACAAATATAACTCAAGGAGAACAGCAGCAGCAGCAGCAGCAGCAGCAAGTGCAGCAGCGGCAGCAGCAGGGTGGGGAATCGGGAGCGGCGAAGAGGTCAGAGGCCGCATTACAAAGCAACCCTAACACCAGCAACTGCAGCAACAGAAGCAGCCCTGAGAGCAGCAGCAGCAACAGCAGCAGCAGCAACAGCAACAGCAGCAGCAGCAGCAGCAGCAGCAAGCGTAGCCGGGTTGTGGTGTCATCTGCCCTGTCAGGCGATTTGCTGCAGTCAAGGGAGAAGGCGCAGCAAAATGCTGCAACATGTACTCCAGCAGCAGCAACAACAGCAACAGCAGCAGCAGCAGCAGCAGAAGCGCCGCGGCAGGAGAGACAAACGGAGAACGATCGTCCTGGTGCAGCTTTGGATAAGAGCAGCAGCAGAAACGGCAGCAACAGCAACAGCAGCAGCAGCAGCAGCAGCAAAGAAGCAACGGAACCAAGACGCATCCGCAGCACGCCTATAAAATCAGAAGCATCAGCTTGGCTAGCAGCAGGATCAGCAGCAGCAGCAACAGCAGCAGCACCTGCAGCAACAGCAGCACCTGCAACAACAGCAGCACCTGCAGCAACAGCAGCAGCAGCAGCACCTGCAGCAGCAGCAGCAGCAGGTGATGGTCATAATAATCGTCAAGGAGGGAGTGTATCATTACGTTGCTCTGGGGTGTCTATGCAGCAGGAGCTGCAGCAGCAGCAGCAGCAGCTGCCACGAGTTCAGGTGTCTGTACACCGCAAAGAGAGGCAACAAATGCCCGCCTTTGATTGCATGCAATGTAAAGAATTCTATGGACTTGTTGATCCTAATTCGGATGGTTAGCTGCTGCTGCTGCTGCTGCTGCTGCTGCTGTGGTTGTTGTTGATGCTTCAGGTGCTGCTGTTGTTGCTGCTGTTGCCTACGTTGCTGCTTCTCATGCCGCTCCTTCATTTGCTGCTGCTGCTGCTGCTGCTGCTGCTGCAGATAACAAACAGCGATGCTCTCGCCATAGACATTTTGTTGCTCCTCCTTCTACCCCTCCGGGCTATTGGGACTTGTAAAGCTGCTGCTGCTATTGCTGCAGCTGGAGCAACAGCGGCAGCCAGGAAGGAAAAAGAACAAAGAGGCAGCAGCAAGAGCGACTTGCAGCACCGCATGCATGCATGCATGCATGCAGCAGCAAATACTGCCTAAAAGGCAGCCCCACAGCGGGTGCCGTTTGTTTGTTGTTTTGCTTATAAAGTCTCTTCTATATTATTCTTTATTCCCTCTCTTTGGGGCTGCATGCAGCTGCATGCTGCTGCATGCATGCAGAGGAAGTTTGGGGCTGCATGCACCAGTGGTTCCCCCATGGAGAAAAAAATGTAAAAAAGGGGAAAAAAGAAAATAAAGAGACAAATAAAAAATAAATAAAAAATAAATAAAGGAGATAAAAAAAATAAATAAAGGAGAAAAAAAATAAAAAAAGGGGGATAGAAAAAAAGGAGATAAAAGAGAAAAAAGAAATAAAAGGGGCAAAGGAGAGACAAAAGATAAAAAAAGACAAAAAGGAGACAAAAGAGAGACAAAGAAGAGATAAAAGAGAGAAATAAATAAATAAATAAAAAGACAATTTTATTTAATTTTATTTATTTATTTCTTTTTCTCCTTTTTTCTTTTTTTTTTCTTTTTTTTTTTGTCTTTTATGTCTGTTGTTTTGTTTTTTTCCTTCCCTTTGTCTCCTTTTATCTCCTCCTTTTGTCTCCTTTTCTCTCCTTTCCTCTCCTTTTCTTTTTATTTGTTTATTTATATTAATATATATAAGACCTCCTCTATAGCAACAACTCGAGGTGTACGTACACCTGGAGGGTTATTGCTGCTGTTGAGGGCATAAAACTTTAATTAATTAAATTATAGTTAATTATAATTAATTTAATTAAATAAAAATAAATAAAAATAAATTAAGTGGGGCTGCTGCCCCCTTAGGGAAATTATTTTATACGTTCATGCATGCATGCATGCATGCATGCATGCAAGTTTGGGGCTGTGCCCCCCAATGCATGTAGGCAGCGTGCATGCATCTGCTCATGCAGGCAAATGTACAGTTGCATGCATGCATGCATGTACGCATGCATCGGGGCTATGCCCCCGCATACAAACATGCATGCACGCATGCATGCATGCATAGATGCATGCGCATATAAGCTTATGTATGCAAGCAGGTGCGTGCATGTATGCATGTATGCACCGCTGCTGCATTCATGCATGCATGCATGCATGCATGCATGCATGCGGAGGGACAGCCCCAATGTAGTAAAAGGAAAAATTTGGGGCTGAGGAGACACTTAAAGGGTTTGTCTCTTTATTAATAAAATAAGTTAGGTATACTGTCTATTTATTTAAATGTTTATTTCTTCTCTTTTTTTTCCTTCTTTTTTTTTTTTCTTCTTGTTAGGCTGCTGCCTCTTCTTTCTCTTATTTGTTATTCTTGTAGACACAGAAAAGAATAAAGGCAACAAGAGGAGACAGCAGCAGCAGCAGCAGCAGCAGCAGCAGCAACAGCACAAAGCAGATGCGAAGGGAGAGGAGGGGAAATGGGTTTTAGGGTTTAGGGTTTAGGGTTTAGCTGTACAGTCGCTGCTTGGGGATGGAAGAAGAAAGAAAAAATAAAATAAAATAATAAAAGGAGACAAGAAAGAAAAGAATAAAGGAATTAAGTAATAAAGGAGACAAGAAACAAATTTATTTTTGTTTTTTTTGTTCTTTTTTCTTCTTTATGCAGCAACAAAAAAAAAACGAGAAAAAAAGATATTTTTCTTTTTTTTGTCTCTTTTTTGCTGCATGCAGAAAGAAATAAAAAGAAGAAATGTATATAAACAAAAGAGCAATTCTTCCTCCTATTCAACAGATAATAACTCTAAAGGCTGCTGCTGCTGCTGCTGCTGCTGTTGCAGCAGCAGCAGCAGCAGCAGGAGAGAGACAGAATCAGTATCTGCAGGTAATAATGGATTTGTTATAGGAAGGTAAGAAGAGAAACAAAGAAAGGAATAAAGAAGAAAAAGAAGGGAGAAATAAATAAATAATTAGTGCTACTAGGCCATGGCCACCAACTACCCCATCCTCCTCCTCCTCCTCCTTCTTCTTCTTCTCCTGTTGTTGCTCCTGTAGATGTATTTGTTATAGTACCGTCACCACTGCTGCTGCCTCCTCCTCCATCCCCGCTGCTGCTGCCTCCTCCCCCGTTGATGCTGCCTCCGTTACCCCAATTATCCTCCCATCCGTCCCCCCATTCATCCCCCCAGCCTATGTCTCCTCCTCCTCCTCCTCCTCCTATATCCCCTCCGTTATCTACATTGTTACTAGTCCACCAAGAAGGAATAGTAACTGCAAAGAAAAAGGAGGAAAAATATACCTGAATAATAAAATAAAAAGAAAAAAATAAATATTTATAAAAAGAATATACAAAGATATTCATCATGTATATATATATATATAT